AGCATATTTTTAGGCACTCAAGAAGTGGAAACACCTTAGAATGGCAAAAGAGGTTATAAAACTGCAGAGTTGCACCCGTCTAAAGTGAATATCCTGTATCCACTGGTATCCAATCGGTTTGCATTGTGTATTTTCGAGGCAAAATTAATGTTTAATCAACAAAGTGGTCGGTAATATAGCCCACCTTCCCACCAGATCCACGGGAACCTCCGCCCTTGTCATCAGGCATGTGGAAAACTAGCGAAATTGCATCAAAGAAACGAAAATATTTGCAGTGCGTGGGCCGGGGAAAAAGCGAAATAAAAATTGAAATCGGATAATGCAAACAGCAAATTAAAAACCAGCCCTGCCATTTTACAGAGAGGGTCCACCATGTGCCACCCCCATCCCATCCCATCCCATCCCATCGTCATCATTGCCTAGCTCCCAGTCCAATAGCAGATATCCGATATGCGATATCCAAAAGGTGGGCTCCTCATACCCACTCCCATTCCCATTCCCCTTACCATTTGCATTGGGTAATGCTGATGCCGTGTTTGGGCCCGCTAATTGAAAGCCACTGCCACCTTTGCGCTTTGCAGCCAAAGACAAATATTGGACGGACCGCGGCTTTATGCATATTTAAAATCAATTAAGTCAATAAATAATAAGGACAACCTTAATGCGATTGCATATGAACGAAATGCGGCAAATGCCGCGCCTGTTTGCAGAGCAAACGAGTGCAGGGATTGCCCATGGAATGCAGGGGGGCGGTTAACCCCCATCCGGATGAGGTCAAGATACGGGCCTGCAGTCCATAGAAATTTTGGACGCGACACGCTTGAAGAGCCCTCCGCTGGCCACTTGCGAGGCACTTGCAAATGGGCCCTATGCAAATGCACTCAACGATGAGTTGCAAATTGTTGCCGTTTGTGTGCCCCATTGAAGGGGGCACACACAAAGCGTCCGCCGGAGCACGCCAGCCGATGCACTCGGCCACGAAATCTGGACACAAAGCCCCATCCCCAAAGTGGTGAAATGGTCAAACTGGCCAAAATGGCTAAAATGGCCAAGTGGAGCAGGGAAAATCTGAGCCAGCGAGGCGAAATCAAATGAAACAATCGGCTAAACGAGCTCCTTCCTGCCCCACTGGGCCACCGAGCCAAAAAAGAACACAAAAATGAGCTGGCCCGGCAAGGAGCAAAAAGGCAAGAAAAGGACCAAGCAAAAGCAAAAGGAGCTGCCACTGCAAAAGGAGCACCACCACGCAAATGTGGCACACAAAAAAGTGACTGCCGCGTTGGTGGCAAAAGCCAAAAGCAATCAGAGTACGATGCCAGGCGGCCAAAAAGAATGCAACGGAGATGGCCAACAAGACAAGCAACAAACACGACTCCACCACGCACCACCCATCGACCATCGACCATTATCCAGGATACCCCTTGCCCACCACACCATGCCTCTCACACACCAAACACCGCACACACGGAGGCAATCAGAGAGTTTCATTCATGACGACGAACTCGAAGCCCCAGTTCCCAGTTCCCAGTTCTCACTTCCCAATACTCAATCCTCAGCCGCATGTCCTTGCCGGGGCCACGGCCCACTTCCACTTGCACTCCCACTCCTCATCCACATCCACATCCACATTCGCGTCCACATCCACATCCGCTTCCACATCCACATCCATATCAACATGCACATCTTTTTGCTTTCGTTTTAGAAAACTCACAGCTCGCACGACACTCGAACCCAGCCAGACCAGACCGATCACGCCAAAAAGAAACTGCAACGAATCAAGGACGAATTTTTTGGCACTCGTTTTTGCTCCTCACACGGAGTGTGCCACTGCCACTGCCATATGACCAAGGCCCCCATGCCCCAACTACCCAACTCACGGCACCAAACTCTTTTCGGTTTGGCTTTGTTTTCCGCCGACTCGACTGTTGCTCCTTTTTGCACACACACACGATGCACACGGCAATTCTTTGGCGTTTTTTGTGCCGAACCAACGACTCCGGCTGCTCGGGTTGGATGGTCCATGGTGATGGTAGCACCCAGTAGCTGGCCAAAAAGAAAGCATAACGCAGGAGGCGACCCAGATATCAGCACTTACGGAAAGTGCTGTCGGTGGCGGGATTCAGCGATACCCAAACCCATTCTTATTCAATGAACATTAGTGAGTGGAACCCGCTGACACAGTCGCACTAAAAAGCAATGGCAGTCGTAAGATGGGCTCAGCCGGAGATTCTAGAGATTCCTGAGATGGACACTCAAACTCTTCTCCTCTTCGCCGCCAGGAGGAAGCAGCACTATCAATCTGATACGGACAGGGTCAGGGCGTAGGATCCACCCTTATGGACCTCATGCATAGGTGATGAGCCGGGACATGCAAAGAACATCCTCATCCGCATCCACGTCCGCGTCCGCATCCGCGTCCGGATCCCAGGCTAAGCCGTGATGCGAACAAAGAAGCCAACAACACGAACACAAATCCCGGTTTGTAAGCCAATTTGCACTTAGGCTTATCTAATGTCGTATCATTTGTATAATGCTCTGTTTGGCCTGATACTTGATGTCTACTGTATGTAGTCAATACTCTGTTCCCGATTCCCGACACTCATACTCATCCTACTCCTATTCAACTCACTCACTCCCATTCCCAGTTCGACCCCTTAAGGCCACACTACGCTCGAGTGTGTGGGCGTGTGCGCCTTATCCTGCGGGGTTCATTTCTAAGCTCATTTATGTTTATCACAAATGCGTGCCAAAGTGTGTCGTTATTCTTCCACCTCCCCACAAACAAACGCACACACTTTCCGCCCCTCGCAAAAACCTCCAACTTTCGATGTTGTCGAAGTTGTTGGCGTGGCGCGAACAAAAACATTTCAAATATTCAAAAAAAAAAGCCCTCACCACATATAAGAAAAACCCCTCCCCCCATAAGACACCCGAAATGGGAGTTGCGAGCTGTACTCAACTAGTCGGGACATGTACTGGCCATAGAAATTCATCTAACGGCTGTAACAGGTAATTGAACTTGGTTATATGGCCCTCGGAATGGCGTCGCGCTGCAAATGGAAATGTGGAAATGCTTCGGCATTCGCGGGGTTCACGGGGTCGAGGGGTCGGGTAAATGGAAATGGAAATGGAATTGAATGACGCGCGCATCGTGTGGCAAATGTGACGTTCTGAGTACTGAGCACTGAGCACTGAGAACCCAGAACCCAGAACACAGCCCTTCACAGTCAGAAGCAATGCGTGCGAACTATATAATGCGGGCATAAAAAGGATTTGCACATGGAGCATGTGTGCGTGGCAAGGGAAAGTCAAATCCAAGACTACATGCTACATGGAAAATTGCAAATTGTGCCCCTGTAGTTGGGAGGACGGGGACAACTGTTGAACTGTTCAACTGCTGAATAATTCATGGCCAACTGGAGATTTGTGCAGTGGCAAGATGATGTCTGCTAAGCGCGTTTGATGCCGATTTGTGGCACGCATAACTGTAAATCGCCCCAAAAGCCAGGGCAGCAACATGGCTACAATGATGATGATGCCACTGGTGCTTAGATGGGAATGTGTGTTGTGGGTGTGAGCTATGGGGATTGAATGCCACATGCCACATACCACCACATGCCATGTGTGGCAGGAACACTCTGCTCTATTTGCAAGTGGCAAATTGTGCCACAACACAACAGAACCGAAGCGAACCGATCAAAACAAACTGAAATAACCGAAGACAACAACAAAAGCGCGGCAATGCAGCTGCTACGCAAAAAACAATGACTCTTGCCACCGTTGACTGCACTTGCAGCACTTATTTTGCTTCTTGCTGCACACACATACCATCCCCCCCACCACTCGCTTCTGGAATTCGTGGACACTTGCTGTCGACACTGGGCGCCTGGTGGCCATGCCCCCAACTCGCATGTGTGCCCCATATCCACCCAGCCATGTGGGTGTGGTGGCGCCACCATGACTTTGGCTTGGTCTTGTTGTCCTCCCCGATTGTGTTAGGGACTTCTTTCTTTTGTTGGCCTGGCCAACAGCCAACAGCCGGCAGCCAACAGGTGGCAGCTACTACTTCTGGACACATGCAGGCGGCATAACCACAGACCACAGCCACCACCACCACCACCACCACCACCTCCTATCCAAACCAACCGACCCACCCACTGCCCACAAAGGCTGAAGGACGTTCGGCATGGCGGCGCACTTTTCTTTCCTTTTGGCATGCAACTTTTTGTGTGCACTCTGCCTGCTTCTTTTGGCAGCCGCCTCTGTGCGCTTTCCTCTGTTTCTTTTGACGATGTGGTGTGCAACCACCCCCATCCCCTATTTCCAACCCCCAACCTCCCAACGAAGAACAGTCTGTGCGGGTCGTCGGAAGCCCCTTTGTTGGCCAATCTCCGCTTGTCGCCAAGCCATTTGCCATTTTCGATGCTATTTGCATCAAGACGTTGGTGTTTATATATAAAAGTATTTATTTTAGTTAGGCACTATGGTATGCTAAAGTAATCATACTACGGGAATTTCGTGATTGAAACTCAAGTCGCAAGTATCGTCGCATTTCTAAACTGCGTTGCGGAAGCCAGCGATGTCGCTCAGTTCCAGTGGCTTCCACTGTATGTCGACATGCTTGTGGATCCGCTCCTCCTCATCGCAGCCTCCAGAGCAGTTGGACTTCTTATAATTATCAGCTGGGTCTGTGGTCGAGTCATAGGTAATAGGGGCGTCCAGGGGATATACAATATAATACACACAAAAAAGTGTTATGGGTAAAATTTACCAATACGGATAGTTGGGTAACGTTTTAAAATGATGATGTGAATTGTGTTGTTGCTTTGGTTACTATTTAATAGTAGAACTACCATAATATAGTAAAGTGTTGTGATGTGAATTGTGTTGTTGCTTTGGTTGGGACTATTTCATAGGTCAAATTGACAATTCGATGGGTTATGAACCATTTGAATATGATAATATAATGATAATTTAATGATAATATAAGCTTGACTTACCGTATTTGTGGTCGTGGTCCTGGTCGCAGGACTTCGGACAGAAGACGATCTTCAGGTCGATGGGCTCGTACACCTTAACGATGAGCTGCGGCACCTTCTCGGTGGGATAGTCCTCGGGGCTGGACACTAGTGGATTGAAGGTAGGGTTAACGGGGCTCACTGGGTCGGTGGTGTCATTGGATGAGATTGGTGTTAGGTGGACCGTTTGGTTGCGGGCCGCCAGCAACCACGGTCTTCTGTTCACCGACAGCACGGCATTTTGGCGCCCTCTGGAGGTGGCCGATGGCACCATCGCAGATGAGAGTACCGCCGATGCTATGGGCAGTGTTTCCGATGTGGTCGGTGTGACTTTTTCTATTGTTCTCTGAGTGATTGCCTCTAATTTTCGTTTTTCTAACGCTTTCACCAGTTGACTGGCCATGAATGTTGGTCGTGCTGTTAATGTTTTTGTGGTTGTTGATGATGGTTTTGGAGTAGATGTTTCGATTGTAGGTATTCTATTTGTTATCGTTGTTTGCATTAATGTGTGTGGAATTGGTAGCCTCGCCGGAAGCCCAACTTTGTCGGGAACATTTCTGTTTAGAACCTGGCTAGCAACACCCTTGGTTCCTAGTGCCTGGATGAGAGGAATTTTGGAGGGAAACTGACTATCCCCGCTTGCCAGTCCCTTAAAGAGAACACCACCGGTTGTGGTCTTCGATTGCCCGTCGTTTTTCGCATCCCAAGTGGCCATTTTATGTTGCATCAGAGCAACGTGCCTCTTGGCCGTGGCTGCTGGTGGCTTCTTGGCTTGTAATCCTGTGCCCCCTTCTTTGTTCTCAAAATCAGAAGAATTAGCCGGCTCGTCTTCCATATAGTCCTCATCCTCATCATAGTATTCCGAGCTTAGATGTGTCGAATTCCTGGCTCGAGTCGGTGCAAATGTAGGTGACGGCGTACTCGTAGTCGTTTCAGACCTTGTGGTTGAACTCGTGCTGGAAGTTGTGCTCTTCGTAGGACGAGTTGTCTGAGGAGCAGCTGTGGTTGACATTGGCGATGACTTCTTGTCCTCCACTCGAGTCAGCCGCTCCTTCAGCAGGCTCAGCAAGAAGCTCTTCCTGGCTTCCAGGCTCGTGACCACACTATTCGGAACCTCATTCCCATCGTTGGGATAGTCAGAGTCCGCAGAGCTGTCGCCGTACTCCAGGTCACCAGTGGTCGTCGGCTGAGCTGTGGTGGAACTGGAAACAGACTTGGTCTGACTTGGCAAGGAAGTAGTCTCAAGACGCTCCCGCTCAGTGGTCGAAGACGGAGCCGGAAGAACTGCAGCCACCGTGGTGCTGGCCATGGCCTTCGGCTGAGTTATCGTCAGCACTTCATTGTCCTCATCTGCGTACTCGCTGTCGTAGTACTCGGAGTCCTCCGGCTCCTTCTTGGTGGTGTTCAGTGACACGAGCGCCTGGGGCTGGATGGAACGCTTCTGGGTGGGGGCGGCCAGCTGCTGGATAGATAGCCGCAGGGAGTGGGCGATGAAGGGCTTGGAGGTGGCGAGGTTGTGCCTGGCCATCTGGGAAAGGGTCACGCCAGGCGTACGCTGGCTGGAGGAGGATTGCTGACTGGGCGGACGTGGGCTAGAAGAGTGCTCCCTGCTCGGCGGCGTGGTGGAGATTATGTGGAAGAGTTTCTGCAGCAGGTGGGCAGCGGCCAGCGTGGACATGGTCGAAGGTCTAGCTGTTGTCGCCTGCCCAGATTCCCCCTCCCCAGAAGATGGTGCATCGTCCATGTAGTCGGACTCATCCCGCCCACCCAAAACATTCCTACTTTCAATTAAATCTATGCTGGCTTGTCTGTGGTTGAGTTCTTCAGGTTTTTGCTGTGAGTGTAGTTGAAGTTGTTTGACTTGTCGGAGTTCTTGTGTGCATGCGGGATTTGTGTTGTTATCTGTAAGGCAAGTGTCGTGATTAGGTGTCCATGTGTTGCTTGTATGGTGGAGCGTTTGGAATGGACTAATGGATGAATGGAATCAATGACTTACCTGAGGTGGAGTCGGGATCGGGACAGTGCGGTCGCGTGACAGTGGTCAGCTCAGTCGTGGTGGTGGAGTTTTGCGCGGGAATGGTTGTTGGATTCCTCGTGGTGGCGATACTCGTGCTTGTTGCCGTAACTGTTGTCGATTTTCCAGTAGTAGTGGTCGGTTTTAGTGTACTTGTGCTTGGTTTTGGTGAGGTCGTGGTTACTGTAGAGGTTTTCAGAGTGGTCGTTGTTGACTTTTGAGTGGTGGTTGTCACACTAGTTGTTGTAGGTTTCGGAGTAGATGTTGTTGGTTTTTGAGAGGTCGTACTAGAGACTATTAAAGTAGTAGTGGTAGGGTTTTCGGTACTTGTTGTTTTCGTGGTGGAGGTAGTAACTGTTGACGTTTTCGGAGTGGTCGTTATTGGTTTCTGCGTAGTGAATGTCACAGTAGATGTCTTCGGAGTCGTCGTTGTTGTAGGTTTTGGAGTACTAGTTGTCGGTTTTTGACTGGTCGTACTTATTGTAGTCGTAGTTGGTTTTTCGGTACTTGTTATGGGCTTAGGAGAACTTTCTGTTGATTGTTTGGTGGTAGAATTAACTGTTGATGATTTCTCAGTAGTCGTTATTGGTTTTTGAGTAGTGGTTGTCACAGTAGTTGGCTTCGGAGTCGTCGTTGTTGTAGGTTTTGGAGTACTAGTTGTCGGTTTTTGACTTGTCGTAGTTATTGTAGTCGTAGTTATGGGCTTAGGAGAACTTTCTGTTGTTTTTTGGGTGGTAGTAGTAACTGTTGACGTTTTCGGAGTGGTCGTTGTTGGTTTCTGAGTAGTGGTTGTCACAGTAGTTGGCTTCAGAGTCGTCGTTGTTGTTACCTCGGTCGTGGTTGTAGGTTTTTGAGTAGTCGTTGTAGGCTTAGACGTAGAAGTTGTCGGTTTTTGAGTGGTTGTAGTTACTGTAGATCTTTTCCGAGTAGTCGTGGTTGGTTTTTCGGTACTCGTTGTCGGCTTAGTAGAAATTTCTGTTGTTTTTTGGGTGGTAGTAGTAACTGTTGAAGTTTTCGGAGTGGTCGTTGTTGGTTTTTGAGTAGTCGTTGTCACTGAAGTTGGCTTTGCAGTTGTTGTTGTTGTTGTTTGGGTCGTTGAAGTTGGAATAGGTGTAGTATTGGTCGGTTTTTGAGTCGTCGTAGTTATTGTAGAGGTTTTTTGAGTAGTAGTGGTAGGTTTTTCCGTACTCGTTGTGGGTTTAGGAGAACTTTGTGTGGACACTTCGGTGGTAGTAGTAACTGTTGACGTTTTCTGAGTTGTCGTTATTGGTTTTTTAGTAGTGGTTGTTACTGTAGTTGGCTTTTGGGTTGTCGTTGTTGGTTTCTGGGTCGTAGTTATAGTAGAGATTTTCTGAGTTGTCGTGGTAGGTTTCGTGGTAGTGGATACCACTTTAGTTGTGCTCAAATCCCTCGTTGTTGTTTTCAGGGTAGTTGTTGTAGGTTTGGGAGTATTCGTTGTTGTTTTCTGGCTAGTTGAGGTTTCCTGGGAAGTAGTTGTAGGCCTTCGCGTAGTGGTAGTCACAGTAGTTGGCTTCTGAGTTGTCGGTGTGGTATTCTGTGTGGTTGTTGTAGGATTTGGAGTAGTACTTTTTGGTTTTTCTGTAGTCGTACTTACTGTAGAGATTTTTTTAGTAGTCGTGGTTGGTGTTTCGGTACTTGTTGTAGGCTTAGGTGAACTTTCTGTTGTTTCTTTGGTGGTAGAAGTAACTGTTGACGTTTTCTGCGTAGTCGTTGTTGGTTTTTCAGTAGTTGTTTTCACTGTTGTTGTTTTCAGAGTAGTGGGTTTTTCTGTACTTGTTGTGGTTTTAGGAGTAGTTGTTGTTGCCTTTTTTGTGGTTTTCGTAACTGGTGACGATTTGTCAGTGGTCGTGCTTCGTTTCCGAGTCGTCGTTGTCACAACAGTAGTTTTCGGAGTCGGTGTGGTAGTTTTTTCGGTAACTGTTGAGGTTTCCTGAGTCGTTGGTTTTGGACTCTGAGTAGTGGTTGTAGTCGTAGACGTTATCGGAGTCGTGACTGTTGTACTTGGCGTTGGTATGGTGGGGCAAGTCGGAACTGTTGGTTTTGGCGTAGTCGTGGTGGTCGTCGTTGTGGTCGTCGTGGGCAGAACAACAATATTTTCCGAAAGGTGCAAGCCATTTAATGCAGGTTTGGTTTTCGGACTCTCAGTTGCATAGGTGTATCTTTTGTGTTGATACTTGGTGGTTTCCTTTGAGGACTCAAGCTTGGTAGTCGTAGTCGCCGGTGTAGTGGGCAGGAGTACAACGTGCTCAGACAGCTTAAGTCTGCCCAAGGCTTCCGATTTCTCAACCTTTTGGCTTTCTGCTGACGGTTCTTCTTTTTTGTTATGATGTGAAGAATAGTCATATGAGTGATAATTGTCGTATTTGTAATAGGCAGTGGTGCGCTCCGTTGTGGTTGTGGTCGTTGGTGTGGTCTTTGTGGGCAGAATAACCACATTTACCGAGGGTCTTTCAAACCCTCCCGACTTAAGAGCAGGCTGCTGTTCCTTGTCATCTGTATCTGTATCGTAGTCGTCCTCCTCGAAGAGCGGTGGCGCTTGATAGGGTGGATAGTATGGCTGTGGTGCCGGGACATAGTCGAAGCAATCGACTTCGTTGCGCGGACGACACAGTTTCCGCTCGGTGTCAAAACTATTGCTGCCGGGGCATTTAAAGCGCGTCTGCAAGTAGGTACCGCTGTCCTGCAATCGACATGTGTAGTATAGGGCGCAGTCCGTCGGCGAGCGGAAGGTGCCCTCGCCGGCGCACTCGGGGAACTTGAGCTCGCAGTTCTGTGGAATGTAGCTGCCACTGTTCGATATCTCCGTCGAGGGGCACTGGTCACCGGGCAGACACTTGCGCTCTACCGGCGAGAAAATGGTGCCCGCGGGACAGGCGAAAAGCCAGGGCTGCGTCCGGTTTTTGTCGCACCTGTAGTACACCTTGCAGTCGTGGGGATGTGGAAAGCGGCCCTCCTTCTGGCACTGCGGCGGACTGTGGTCCAGACTGTGCTGGGGAATGTGCTGCACGCAGCGTCCGCTGCTCGAACTGAAACTCTGGAAAAGTGGTAAACCGAGTTAGGGGGCTGGCGGGGTGGGGGGTAATCAAGACTCACCTCAAGGTCGCGACATTTGCTGAAAATCACACAATTCGGCTTGCAGACATAGTAGTACTGCTGCTGATCCGGATGGGGCTTGATGCCAATGTAGTTCCGAGAGCAACGATTGTTCTACAATTACACAATATAGAAACCATTTGTAAAATGTAAAGCTATTGTGAATCACAAATTAAATTTTAAATGAATTTAAGAGGGATACTATAAGATAAATGTGATTTTTAATGTGCTCTCAATTATTTTGTAAATATGTTTTATTAAGCTTATTAGAAGTTTAGTAGGTAAAATTTTAAGTTTCCTCAAACTTTTAACCGTATTCGCCTAGAATTTTTTTTAAAAATTAAAAATTTATGAACTCCAAAGATAATTATCTGGATCTCCATCGACTCAAAAAGTCTTGAATTCAGGGCAAATACTATTTTGAGTGTACATAATCCTTTTTTTTTTAATTTGAATTGTAAACCCATTTTTCTAAGCCAAGAATAAAGTTTATACGGCATGTAACCATTTTTACAGAACTAATTACTCACATAATCAAACCGCACGGGATATCCGCCGCCGGGGTAGCTCTTGTAGACTCCGAAAACGTTGTCGTAGTAGGGGCTGTAAACGGGTGGCGGTGGGGGTGGCGCCTGGTACCCATAGCCGTAGGGCGGGGGGTAAGCGTAGGGCGGCTGTCCATAGTATCCGCCGGGCAGCACGGCCGGATGCGAATATGCACTTGGCAGCTGGCGCACCGAGCGACAGGTCGCCACGGAGAGCAGGGCCAGGAGGGCCAGCATCGTCGACCAGAGGCAGTGCGTCATGGTGGGCACTCTTCTTCAAATAGCTTGGATTTCGACTGGAAACAATATGACGTCGTTACCTTGGGCTCATCTGATTGGAGTTGAGGGTTATGGAGGTCTGCTGGTATCCTTAGTATTCCTATTCCAATTCCTATGTATTTTTGTGGAACCTTGACTGCTACCGCGGTCAGCTCTGGAGTGGCAGTGTTGACTTGGAGCGGGGCAGACGCGCTTAAAAGGTCGCTGGGTGCGCTCGCTTCCGAGAATGTTGCATAACTCGAATGCCGATTGACCGCCGCGTGATTTAAGTACGTTGAATGTACGGTCTGCCGCCCCAAAGAGACCAAGACAAATCTTGGCTATTGGCGCAGCGGGTAGAGTGCAGCGAGCATCGAGCAGAATGTAGACTGCAGAATGCAAAGACCGGAAGAGAGTCTTCGCCGTGCATGCCGCTAGATGCATGACTAAATCGAGCTCGGTGGCCCGGAGAGCGACGTGCGCCACTTCCGCTCCGGAGATGCTCCATTCCCGCTCCATTCCCAATCTTTGCATGAGTAATCTCCGATCCGACAGCTGCTCCGATCTGCAGCCGTTCCAAACGTGATCAATGGATCAGCGGCCAACGCGGAACAGATTCCTGCAATGATAAAAGAAATACGTTAAACTCACTATCACTTCACATCGCACGCAGTTTCAATCGATAGGCCCGAAATTTGGAGCCAAGGTCATGTTGCCCAAACCAAAATTTTGTCATTTTTGTCTTTTTACGATTCTTACACGTACGACGTTGGGAGTTACGCATCCGAAAATACAAGATTCGTGGCTTCTTGATGCGTCATTCAACACGTTCGTCGCTTTAAACGGAAAGACACGAATCGCCTACCGTGCCAAAAAAAATAAGCCTAAGACCCAATATCGGGCACGTTCCCCGCAACTAGGGAACAGGAACCACGGATTTGGTGTCGTAATATTTCGAACTCTTAAAACTTTTAATTTAGAAGAAACTCTTGATTCCCACGGTCGAATTTTATAATCACATAGTGATGTTCTTGAGGTTGTTAATTTGCACCATCGATTCGTGCTTATATACGCACTCCAGAATCAGAAGCAGAACAGAAACAAAACAACATGCGTGATTGCGTTGCAAAGATTAAAAACAAAATTGCATTTTGTATAATTTTACTCCGCCTTCGAACATGAGTTATTAGTGATACAGAGAGAAACTGTAAGAAAAAATGTTTACTGATACGGATTAGTAGCATTTCCGGTTCTGAGCTTTAGATAAAAAGGGTTGTCCGATACTGATACTGGGATCGACTCCATATCCAATAACCTGTGCTCCTTATCATTGTGAACACTGGTTTGCCTGGGCATTCGGATTACGTGATAATTGAACGGGCGCAGGCCCCCAAGAATGGTATAAAATACCAGAGCCAAAGCAATCGTCATGTCATCGGTGTTGGACAAGCTCGACATTGTCATCTGAACGGAATTCTTCGGATTTGAACACGTATTGAATTGAGATAACAATGTGTGTGTGTAATAGAATAGAATAGCGATAAAAAAAAAGCATAGAGATCTACAGATACTGCAATGCCATTTAGAATGAACTATCTGGTAGAGCGGTCGATCAAAAGTCTGGGATGGAATGTGCTAAAGACATGTACGAAAGATTGCATTCACATGACGTAGAAAAGAGTGAGAATCTTCACTGATGAGACACATCTTCGATACATACGTTGATATAAATATATATCAAGAAAAGCAATCTAAACTCAAAAAATTATAAAATTTGTCGAATGGTATAAAAGAGTGAAAAGCAGCTCTTAATAGAAGACGGCCATAAAATCACATAGAGATTCAAAGGTGAAGAATAGCCGTCGCTTAAAAGTCTGCGGTGAAATGTTCGGAAGAATGCATACCGGTGAATCTTCTGGAGACGCAGAAGAGATTAAGAAGCTCCATTGATCGTTTCTGCAGCCGGCAAATAACGAAAGAGCATAGAAAGAAAACTCTCCACTGCTGGTTTGAAACTCTGCTGGCGATCGAAACTGTTTAGCTCCAACTTAAGCTTTTGCATTCTCCAGTGGGGGGTTCAGAGCCCCACTACCGATCGCCAGAGCGGGGGCTCCCACCAAAGGAAAGAGCTTTTAGTTCCAATATGAGCTCTGTAAAAGCTTGATAAATAGAGCAAGGATCCTGGAAGGCGACGGGGGGCATCCTGAGGTCCTGTCCTCCAAGTCTCTTAAATGACAAACTATTCGCAAAGAGCGGGGCATGCCAAAGAGAAGCCTCCTGCTGCTATACCCCAACAACCTGCAAAATCCATCCAAAAAAAAAAAAGGAAAAATCCGCAGGCAACAGAAGAGAAATAGTTAAGAAAAGTTTTCCTGCCGGCGGAAGGGAACAAGAAAAGTAGCAGCCAAAAAGACGAAAAATGGCGGGGGGAGGGGTTGTGGGGAAAATCCGGCCAGGCGACCAAAATAAACAGTAGCAGCGGCGGCAGAGCTGCGGCAGCGCTGCCACGTCAAGGCTCGAATCAGGGGCAAAAATGGAAGAAGAAGATGGAAAAAAAGCGAACGACAAACAAGAACAAAAACTAAAGGAAAACTGTATAAAAAATGGTGAAGAAAACGAGACGAAAAGAGCCTGGCTTGCATTGGTATTGGTGCTGTTATATTGGTATTGGCGCCGCTTTCGCAGCCAGCGTCAACGTCGACTGCGACAGCGACTGCGACGTAGGCGCCATCGTGTGGGTGTTTTGCGGGTGTGTGGGTGTGTGGGTGGTAAGTGCGTAAGGCTCTCTTCCACCTTTCTCCACTTTTCCACGTTTCCACGTTTCCATGTCCCCATGTGGCCAAGACTTTCACTCTCGTTCGGCCGTCGTCGTTTTTCCTTCGACGCCGCCAGCAGCGACGTCAGGTTTTTCTTTTCTGCTCCTGTCGAGGGGTGGGGGCGGGGGGTGATGTGTGGGTGGTGGGGTGTGAATGGTGAGTGGTTGGGGTGGTGCTGATGCCCATCAAGAAGTGCTGCCAAGCAAGCGCTAGAAAAAAGCATGCGAAAGTGCGCCAACTGATAAATTTGCCCGGCAAAAGGCAAGCCGAAAAAGGAAAATCAGGCAACCGTTTCAAGGCTGCTGCTACTGCTGCCCCACGAGCGGGTCAAAGGTAACAGGTGGGGAAGAGGGGGGGTATGGGCACCACCAGGCGACCTTGAGCAACCAGCCTGGTCTTGACGGATGGCAGACGTCATTCTCGGAATGGTAACACAATCGCAGTCCGTTCTAATTACACCAACAGCTGGAAAAGCTGGAAGTTGTGGCTGTGGCAGCAAACCACCTGTAGGCCTGTGTCCAGCAGTGGGTGTTGCCCCACATGGGCGGGTATTAGACAGGACAATGGGTGGTGGGTGGTGGGTGGATCACACACACATACACCCACAGCCTCTCTGGGTTTTTACTGCTCTGCCAGAAGGATTTTCTCGCGTTTAGCTTTCTCTTTTTTTTTTTTTGCTTCTTACCAGGCCAAAACTGTTCTCAACAGGTTGCAACAGGCTGTGTGTTTGTGTGTGTGTGTGAGAGGGGGGTGGGATGTCCTTATGGGCGCCCAGCTTTAAGGCGACTTCATGGGGCTGGGCCGCAGCCGTGTGACCTTCAGTGTCGGGCTAAGGCTAAGCGCTGCCATGGCAGCAGTCACAGTAACAGTCACAGTCCCTCATCCTGTTTTTAGTCAGTAATCCTGGCAACCAGACATGTGTGTGTGTGTGCGTGGGCGTGGACGCGTGTCCTAGCTGAGGATGTGAATGTCCCTGTCAATGCCTCACCAAATCTATCCGAAAATCGCCTGTTGAGCATGTGTATTAGGGTGGTCCCAATAATGAAATCTTCACCCCTTTACATGGTAGAAGAAAGTGTGAAAAAAATATATACAAAAAATAAACATTTTTGGGAATTAGACCTTGTGAAAAGTCTTCAAAGTTTCCCTTAAAATTACTAAGAAACTACTACTTAAATTTTAAGGAAATTGATTTCCCCTTCACAACTTTGTCAACTCTGAAAAATAGAACGAAATTTTTGAAGATAAAAATTTTTACACTGTTCTTAAATCAAGATGAATAGCGATACTTACATTGCATATCTCAACAACTAAACTATTAGTCCAGTCAGTAGTGTATACTTATTGAAAGGATGTTAAATAAACTCAATATAAGTTTTCTCTTCTCACCATTTCGTTCTAATATTGAGATAATTAATACCAAAATGTAGTTACACGGTTTTTAAGAACGAGTGTTCTCAAATCAAGAACAATATACTTAAATATTTCTCTTTGTGTACATATATATGCCTTGGGCCCCTCAAGGCGCTCCCTAGCTAGCAGTTCTAGTGATAGTGTCCCTCCAATAGGCTTGACCGCTTAAGCGTGTCCTGATTTATGGCTCCTATCTGCCTTGATGTCTTAATCGCCACTCAGTATTCAGTGGGTTGAGTCCCGCTGACAGGGTGCCCACTGTAAACCTGTTTTTGGAGACTGGCAACTGCATTGCAGGATTTGAAAAGGCAACGCATTAGCAGAGACACGTCAAGCGAGCCAGAAACTGGGCCCCAAAAGCGAAACCGAAGCCGCAGAAATCGGGGGCAGAGTGTTTCGAAATGGGGGGGGGGATGAGGTTTACGTAGGGCCAGGCCAGTATTGAATTGCAGCGACCTACATAGAAAGCAGCGCGGACTGAGAGCTGCACTTTGAGATCGAGATTCGAGGCTTGAGAGGCTGTCATGCGACTGCAACGTGGCCAGAGCCTTGGATCTTGGATCTTGGGTCTCTGGTAGTATGGGATCTCGTCTTGGGACACAAATGTTACGCTCTGCACTCAATGGCAAACGCAGCGCGACGCGGAACTAACAAAACTCGTTCCGCGGAGCATTCGCTCTCCTTGATTTGGCAAACCGGTTGTTTAGCTGGGATTGGGGATCTGGGATTGGGAATCTGGGATCTTGGATCACATCAGATCAGAAGAGTATGCTAGCCGCATTTGATTGAAGTCCCAGCGATGCTCAAGCAAAGAGGAACTCCCGGGTGACCACTTGGGGCGAATTTGCCAGCAAGCAGACAAAGTTTTCTACTCGAAAATCAAATTAAGTTCCCCCCTTCCCAATGCGGTGAAATTGACTGGGAAATTGCTCTCAAAACAGGCAGAAACACACATGAGACGATGATACGACCACTAAGCTGCGACCCAAGTCCTTGGTCCTTGTGTGTGTGCGCCTTAGTTTGCCGGCACCCTTGAGTGTTTATCATGTAAAACACCAAGAAAACATGTCAAACATGCCAAATATGCATGACCTACAAATTATGCGAATGCGACACCCCGCACACACACACACGAATGGCAGGTCAGGTCGTGGATAACCAGAAATCTGGGATTACTCGGAGCTCGAATCTTGAATCTCGAAGCTAAGAGAGACAACAGTAAGTCGTGGTCCTTTGGACCCCCCCACCCGACATCAACCCTCAACAAATCGGGGTGAAGTCAAGATGGGTAGCTCCCCTCGTCCACTTCGTCCACTTCCGCATCCGCTGGCCAGGGACCCAAATTCAGAATCAGACCCAAACACACACAGGCCAAACCTTCTTGACCCGC